AAATATTGTTATGTTTTATTATTGTTGGAGTTATTGTTATATGTTATATGATATATTAAGACTTAGATATGTATAAATATATTGAGAATTGATGTGTTTTTAATTTAAATTGTATTATTTTATTATGATCGATTTGACTTCGGTTTAACCCCTTATTGAACCCATGGCCCTCGACCCTTGAGTTTGGTTGGTTTAATGACCAGTTTGATTTTTAATACCTTGCGTAGAACACACTCAATGTACCTGGAATTATCCAAACAACATACTATGTGTACAATATAATACTCAAATCTCAATTTTAACTCTCAACCCCTTAATATTAAAACAGAAGGGAGAGATCTTGCATTTGCAAATAATTAGTATCCATACATAATATAGGCATTATAAATCATCACTATACTTATATTAGTTTTTTGATCCTATACAAATCAACTCATAAGATACACATAATACAACAATTTCAATTGCGCATCATATTAGTACAAGTATAAATTCAAATATGTCTCTAGTTAGTAATATTATAAAGTTATAAATAAATCAAAATGAATTAGGAGGAATTACAGTAGGGATAATCAATTCTTAAACCTCCAGAATGTTTTCCTTTTCAACGCCAGAGCTATAATCTATAAAATATTAAAAGAAAAGGGTAAGTATAATCACTCAGTAACCAATAAACGTTTATCCTATGCAATTATATATTAATTGACATTTAGCACATTTAATGAATGTATGAACATAATATCTTATATTAAACATGAGCAATTCATTTTATGAACAAGTACCATCAATTCACAATCTCATATCATAATACACCACCATAATAATAACAATCATGTGACAATTGCACATTTAAATATTATGACTTGTCACAAACTTAATAATCATGTGACATGTCGGATAAAATGCATGATCAAGCCACCTTTATATCATTTTCATATCTTTTAATTAAGACTGTGTGATATAATTTAAATAGGGCTCCGTTTATGTGAATAGACTACTTAAGCTTACTGATCGTGAGGAGTAACCTGGCTAAATATCATTGTACTCACTTTTAGACCATGGCTTCCCCATTCTCTAATTCTTGGAGTGTTGTAAACTTTAAGCTAGTTTCCTTGACAAACAGGTGAAGATAGCTAGGTTCAAGTTCTTTGATAAACAATAAGATGTCCCTTAATAGACAAGGCTACTTCTCAATTTCAACAATTAGTATCGTTACCATGTGACTTTTATCTACCCCTCTCCTTAGGCCAATCTCTCACCCAAAAAATCATGCAATGCCTTATGCTCATACATATATACATGCTTGTAACTTACAATAACAAGCTTATTATTTTAAATCACATGACATGCTAAATCATGCAAGCGTCACAAATTATTCTTCTCATCAACAGAAATCACATACTCTCCATCATAACTATTCACAAAGCATGTTATCACCTTTCTCATGTACTTCACACCATGCTAATTAAACAAAACAATCATCTCATATTTAATCACATCATATTAATAACCCAATTAGTAAACAAAATCCCTTATTCAATTTGTACATATTTATGATCATACAATTCAATCATTATGTCAAATAATTTATTTTTGAAAACATAAATCAATTAGCGAACAATTACACATGAAAATAAGATTTTCCCTGATTACCTCAAATCTTTAAGTGGTCAAAGGTTTACTCTTCCACTAATGCTTCCAAAGCTTGATTTTAAGCTCAACTTGGTGTATGAATGATTAATCCTAAATGGTTAGAGGCTCTAAATCATGTCCAAAGCTTTGAATGTGCAAGTACTAGCATAGCCCTCAGCCTCTTTGGCTCTCTTTTGTTCAATCTCTCTCTTCTTTCTCTTCTATCTTTGAGTTGATACTTATGCGAATATATCATAATTTTATGTCACATACTATGGCGCACGCTACAAATGTCGCAATATATGGCACAGAAAGCACCTTCCTTACCTTGCTTGATCCATGAGCCATGATAGAGGCTACACACGTTGCTGCGAATGGCATAAAGAGATCCTCAACTCTTACTTGGCACTTTACGCCATAATGAATGATGCACATGTTGTGGTGTGTAGTGCAGAGCCATCCTTCTTTTACTTTTCTCTCTCTATATTGGGCTTATATGGCCTAAACTTTACCTTGAACCCAATCTTAAGACTATATACTTAAGTCTAAATAGCCTAGTAGCCCTCTCTAACTATCATCTAATTCAATTATAGTTAGTTAAACTCGATCATTCTTTGATTAATTTGACTTCTTCAAGAGTTAAACGTCTAAGATGTAACAGCCTTACAGGTACCATCATTAAAGTCAACAAATGTATGTTTGTGCACTCTATTTTCTTACACATGGTAATGGCTAACTTTAAAGTTGAGACATTAATGTTAATTGCCATGATAGTATGGCTTAACTAGCATGTTAATTGTGCAGTCATTACATTCTTTATTTGAAAATTTTTAAATTTTCTTGAGAAATAATTTTATGCATAAATTTTAAATGTGATATTTAAAATGTAAGATTTAAATCTAAATTTATCAATCCAATTATTACATGGAAGTAAAATATAAGGAACCTTCATCAACTTTATTAGAATTTCACTAACCTTACATCTGTTTTCAACATGGATATTACAGTCCAATTTTTAAAGCAATTAAAAATATTATATTAAACTTATAAAAAATATTCTATTAAAAATTATAAAACAATTGTCTATCAATTACAATTTATATTAAAATTTTGATTATAAAAATATCCAAGCTGGGGTGCAAGTAGGGCGTTGTTGGCTTAGTGGTAAATGGTAAGGGTGTATGTACGTACATGTATACAGTGGTGGAGCCACGTTACGATAAGGGAATGCAAATGCACCCCCTCACTTTGAGGAAAATTATAAATGAGGCATCTAAAATTTACAACTTTATACCCCCTATCTTAATATTTTGCCCCCTTTGAACTAAATAAAAAATATTTAAGTTTAAAAAATTATTAAATATATAATATTTTAATGATTTAAATAAGATATGAAGAGCATATTTATAATAAAATTTCATATCAACTTATTTAATATAATTTTTTTAAAATGAAAAATGATAATAAATTTATTTATATTATTATAATTTTAATTCTAACAAAATTATTACTATTTTTTAAAAATATTAATTTTCATTAAATTACTCTGCACTTCTTAACTCAAGATCTTGGCTTTGCCACTGTATGTATATACATATACATACATAATATATTCCACCAATGTATATGTATATATTAATTTTTGAAAAAAATTAATCATTTGGTCTCTATAATTTTAATTTAGTTATAACTCGATTCTTAAATTTTGACTTATTGTAACTTAGTAAATTTTGCCTTTTACAATTCAGCCTCTATAGTTTCAACTACTTAAATACCAATCCTTATATTTTTTAAAAATAAAACTATAAAAATTAAAAATATTTTAAACTTTTAATATTTATAAAAGATTAAAAGGGTTTAGTAAATTAAAATATTAATAATAAATTTTAACATAATTTTAATCTTTATAATTTGAATTTTTAAGCTATAAAACCCCCTATTTAAGTGATTAAAATTATATAAACTAAATTGTTAGAATTAAAGTTTATAAATTAAGTCATAATCGAGTCAAAATTTTATTGATTAAGTTATATCGGATAAAATTTTAAAAATTACATTACAATTAAATCAATCAAATGATTAACTTTTTTAAATTTTTTTTACAGGTATTGATTATTGATTAGTATTTAAAAGGTGTTTGTAAGTAAATAATGTTTTCATATTATTGAAATTATTTATTTTCTCGTATCGGCGGCGGGTTGAGAGGAGTTTGTTCTAGGGTTCAAGTTTGGTGAGCCTATATAATCTCACCTTTGCCCTTCCTCTCGTAAACCTTGGCTGCTGGGATGGGAGCGTCTAGGGTTTGGGCATCGCGACGGTTTTTGAATTCAGTAGCTAGATTCAGTTTTGAGTTTTCGCACGATGCCTCCCGGGCTTCCCTGAGATCTGTGATGGGAATGCCCCAAAGCATGTGCCAAATGTCGCCGTTCGTGTTGCAGTTTAGCCCAACTCTTTTACGGCTGATCTGTGTCAAAACAACGGCAACATACCTTCGTTCTGTTTCTTTCTGTTTGTGTTGTTTGTATCGGTGGGGAGGGGCTGAGGAATATGCCTCACTACACCTTTGGCTTATTTTCAACGAAATATGCCATGAAAATAAAGCTAGTCCTAGAGGCACATATCGAATTGGCGGTATTCACGTGGGGGTTTTAATTTTTCAATATTTGTGCCTCTAAAACTTACCGCTAGATGGCTGGTTGCCCCATAAACTTGTTTTTCCTTTTTAATCTCAAAGAATGGCTATGATTATATGTTATCCGCGCTTCTGAGAGTCATCGATGAAGCATAAAAGAACAATGGTTGAATTTCTTGATATGAGCCGCTTTTTTCAAGATAGTTTTTCCTCTTATAGTCTACTTTGATTGGGTAGTTTATTATGTTAGTTTGTTTTACAATTCAGTTCGCTGTGATGATTACTATTCAGCTTGAAATGCCAGTTCTGCTGCTGAGAATCTGTGATTGAAAGAGCTGTTTCTATAATCTGAGCCTCTTTATATTTTTGAAATGCAGCGGATGCTTTATGTTACTGCGTACAATTTATTTGCGAATTAATTTTCTAATATTTTAATGTTTAATCTGTGCGTTTACAAGGATTGCCTGTGATGATCTAATCCAACTTGTTGAGGTGTTGTGGATCCAAGACCCTGTTTGACAGGGAGAACCTTCTTGGGGAAGCTATACTCATATGACATCAATGGATTTGACTGAGGAGTTGTATATTGTAAAGACTTGCTATTATTCTTACTTTTCTCAGTTGTATCTGTGCTTTTGAATTAATATTTTCCCTACATCGTATTAAAATTAATGTGATTTAATTTCCTTCAGAAATTTGTTTCTATGAATTCTTTGGAGCAATCCTTTAGCTTCTCACCAATGATGTTACAATCCAACTTGTCTGAGGTTGCAGTGTATCCAAGTCCCTGTTTTTAGGGAGAACCTACTTGGTGTTGCTGCATTCCAATGGCATCACAGGTTTAACTGAGGTATCAGTCTTTTGAAAATACATTTTTAACCTAGTTGTTGGTGTCGTTCCTGTTTAACATGGACGTGTGTTTTGGTTTGCTTAACCTTGAGTTTAACTATACCCTGTTCTTTACTAAATGGATCAGAGTCTGAAAAACTCAAAAATTTTTGTGTTGTCATCAGCTTCGTCTCTTATTTGTCCCACGGGAATGGAGTTAAATAACAGCACTAAATTTATATTGGGTTATCATATTTGCATTAGGTGGTCTTATTTATTATTGTCCTTTATTTACTATTTGGTATTAGTTCAACTTCTATGTGCTATGTTGATTTTTGCTTCAGATTTCTTACTGGGAACTTATTGATAATACTATCATAAATTGTTTTTTATCTATCGTAATGATTTTGTATTATGAATATTTTTTGCTGTTCATCCATTAAAGGGTGTTTAGTATTGAGGTTATTGAGGGTGAGGAATGAAGGAATGATCCAATTTGTAGACATCATTTTTATTTTTTAGGGAGAGTTTCTCTTTTTTATTTGTTGGAATAGTCAATTTACATTTCCCATTCCTAGGTTGTAAGTTTTTGTTTTAAGTAGTCTCTTCACTGCAGTATTTTCTCTCACTTGATAGCATGCTCATCATTAATAATTTCTTAAGCTTTGTTAATCAATCTTGTCTCTGATAGTGGCAATATCACTATCATTTGAGAAGGGTGAAGCCAAGTGGGAGGAAAGAGTACGACCCAACAAACCCCAAATTTGACATGATGTGTTCGAAGACCAATAGTCTCATTGTCATTGATTAACAGAAAAACAGTATTTGTTAATGACTGTTCATCTACTCATTATCATATAATTCTTCATGCACAAATAAGAAGAGAATGGATTGCCATAAAAAAAAAAGAAGACTAGATTTGTTAGATTCCTGCAATATAACATGAAAATTAAGAAAGGTAGAATGAGGATGGATATGCAATTGGAATTTGGACTTCGGAGATAAATTGCTTTTTTTAAAATAAATTGAGAACTCAATTACTTAATCAAAAGCAAAACAACAGAAAAACATCCTATAATCTCCTCATAATCCACCACTGGCAGCAAAAAAATTATGGGGGTTAAATATATGGAGTTGGACATAAGACAGGATTTGAAGATATGTTCGAAAATCATATTAATAACAATATTCTGACACATGAAATTACCAATATACGCATGCCTACACTACGGTGAATATATTTGAATCATTTTAGTTAGAAGTTTTGGTATTTAGAGCTTGGGAAATTAATTTGCCATTCCTCATAGTTTTATTAGATTTTGAACCAGGTTCCTCTATTTTTTTTTCTTTTTTATTTGGTTCTTACTGTTCACTTGGTTGAAAACAAGAGTCCTTTTGTCCAATCATCCATTAATGCACTTGAAGATGAAACATATGGACAATTTTTTTTTTCCGAACTCCCCCTCTCCCCTTGTGTAAGAGTCCGTGTCCCCCCCCCCCCAAAAAAAACAAAACGCCTTTCTCTCACATCTTTCTTCATGCTTTTCTCCCTCCCCTGTACTTCTCCTTTCATCTTCTAGTAATGTATTCTTTTGCGCAATCCTGAGATGAATAGATTTAAGAACCCCTGCGAAGAGAATTATAAAGACGATGGAGATGAAGAGGTTGATGCCCATTCACCGAAGCTGAGTGAGAACCAATCTAGTGAAAAGACGCTCACAGTATCGTAGATGAAGAGAGATGCACGAGGAATTTGAAAGGAGTTGCTGACGTGAGTCTCCATGGTCTTGCTTTGTATACCCTGGTCTTGTACGGAAGATGTTTGTCATCTGGTACCTCAACCTTGTGCTTTCTCAGGGACGCCACATCCACTTGATACAATCTCATGTCATAAAATGAAGAAAACCACTGTGATCGCCATTGCCACCGTAAGAGTGTCGAACCCTGATCTCTACCCGATGTTGTTCTTAATCAACGCTCGCACAGAAGTGATGATGACAACGTTGATGTTGGTGGAGAAGTAGAACCAATTGAAGAGTCCTTCTCGTTCTCAGCATCGTCGACGTTGTTGAATTGGCGTGTTCGATCGAGATCGAGATCGAGATCGAGAGAGAGAGAGAGCCATGAGCTATTATTACATTGGAAAATAGTGGAGGTGAGATTGGAAAATATTGGTGTCGCGTCCTTCAATGCTGCATCATTTCTTGCTAGCATATATAGACGGCGTTTGGAGCAGCCATTAATCGAGGCCCGTTTAAATTTTAATTAGATATAATTAATTATAAAATTTTTTATATGATTGATTTTATTTATAATTAATTATATTATAATATAATTTATTTAAATATTAAAATTAATTTTAACTGTATAAATTATGATAAAAATTATATTTTAAAATTAAATTATCAATATAATTGTATTTAATATTATTAAATTTGTTAAATTTTATTTAAGAAGTAAAATGTATTATTTAATAGTAAAATTAAATCTATAAGTAACTTTTTAAAATTTATTTTAAAACATAATTCTGGCTCAAGATTCAATTATTAAGTCAATTAGTTATTTGGGTAATTTTTTCTAAAAATTAACTATTTGATCTTAATAATTGATTTTTTTGTCTATCCAATTAGGCAATTTAACTAGTGAATTATAATGACCCAATAAAATGAAAAAAAATAGAGGAAGTTAATTCAAATTCAAAATTTAATAAAATTACATGATAGAAAAATTAATTTTCTTTTTAAATTTTTTTATCCTTGTTAGGTTTCCCCTTCCTTGGATATTAAAAAAGAAGAATTATGGATAAGTTTAAAAAAATAATTAATTTAAATTAAATTTAAAAGTATAAAATTTTAGATATTTATAATTTTAATGTTGAATTTTATAATTTTATTATAATAAATTTGTAATTTATTTTTTAAATTTTAATATAAATGAATAATAAATAAATATATTTTTTATGTTAAAATTTAAAACATAAATTATAAATTCATCATAATGAAATTATAAAATTAAAAATTAAATTTATAAATTTTTAAAATTACTTTAAATTAACTGATTGTCTTAAGATTTATGTATCATCTCCCTTGAAAATGGGAGAGGAAAACCCTCCCCTAAAAAAAAAGGTTATAATTTTACAGTGGCTTGACTAATTTATCCATATTATGCTATAATATGATAATTAAGAATGCCACTCCCCAAATTCAACCTATTTTTCCTCATTTTTCAATCATCCTTCGTTACCACCGTCGCGCGTCCCAACCTTGACCTGCAGCAGGGCCTGTCGACTCCGTCACCGTCCCGAGTGCCGTCACCACTGCAACAGGTTTCACGTTTCTCCGTTACCTGCTACTGCCTTTTATTTGCTGCTCCATCACCGATTATGATGGAAAAGGGTCATTTGCTGTCAAAGAATGCTACATGTATTCGTAAATTTCTGATATTCGAATTATGTGAATCAATTGGCTCATCGGATTCTCTCTCTGTGATGTTTGGAATTCGCTCGAGCCAACAGTGAGTCGTTGGGCAAATGCCTTCTCTTTTCAGTCAACGGTAGCAGCCCAAGCCTGTTGGGCACAGGATCTTCCGTTCCGGCTGTTAGATTGATAGGATTCGAATCTCCTCATCTCAGTATGAAGTGAAGGAGTGGGTCAAGCGGGATAGTAAGCTACGATGCTTATAATATTTTATTAATCTTCATTCGCTGGTTCTGCCATGTCACATATGCAATATCAGATTGATTCATTATATGCTTTTGATTGTCAAAAGGGAAGCACCTTGTTATTTATGACATCTCTTGAGGGGCAAGTAAGATGTGTGAATTAATTTGAAATGACTTGCGTTTAGGATCATGTGGAAAGAAGTTTAAAGAGAAACAGAACATAAGTTGAAAACCTTTATTCCCAAGAATTTTTACATTCACTGTCACAGATAATGATGGGATCTGGTGTTATCTGATTGAGTATGAGATCCAGCGTTTGAGTTTTGTGAGGAAAATAAGTTGGGGTGCGAGGAGTATGGGTCCTCTTGCATTGAAGGTCATTTGTAGCTTTTTGCTCAGTAAAATTCCCTGTTTCTGTTGTTCCAGACTTGTTCATAACTATATAATCATGATTACAGATATATTTTTGGATGAAAAGAGGATATAATAGTTATATATTCATAAAAAGATAAGGAAATTTTTTTTTTTTATAAAATAAGGTAATTGTTGTTCATATATAATTATTTTTCCTCCCCTCCTCTCCTGAACTAAATAAGATAACATCAAACTTTTAAAATCTCTTCCCTCCTCTTCCCCTGAACCAAAAACAGTGTTAATGTAATTATAAATATAATTTTTAAGTTCCTTTACCGTGAAAGGGTGCAAGATTTGGGAATACAACATCTTGTTAACCAACAGTTTATGTTTATTTCTACTCTGGGTTTTCAGACTATTTCTGCAGGAATTGGACTTAATTTCTCATTGTCACCCTAAATTGTTCTTTTTATAGATGGAACAAGGGAGGCAGGTGTTCGAAGTCGACCTTCTTGAAAGGTATGCTGCAAAAGGGCGAGGAGTTATTACATGTATGACTGCTGGAAATGATGTCATCGTGATAGGAACTAGTAAAGGCTGGGTCATCAGGCATGACTTTGGGGTTGGCGATTCATATGGTAAAGTTTTTAGTTTACTTATTTCTACATACAAATTTTCCATTAATCATTAAAAATTAAAAGTTGTTATGAATTGATATCCACAGGTAGAAGATGCAGAGTTCATATTCCTTACTTTTTTTTTATTTGGTAATTAAATTTATTATCTTAAGTTGTGTTACTTACAAGATACAAGTTGAGGGGTTGCTACTAGTTTTAAAGAGGACAGTTCAAGAAAGCTTGGACTGCTGAAGTTGCTTCAGTGATTGGATACCTTAGGTGCCAATTTGCTTGATGAGAGATTATTTTCTGCATCAGGTAGTGTCTAATATCTTATTGTCTATGGGAATATAGAAATTGATCTCTCCGCTGGCCGGCCTGGTGAGCAATCTATCCACAGGGTGTTTGTTGATCCTGGAGGGAGTCACTGTATAGCCACTGTTGTTGGTGCTGGAGGGGCTGAAACATTTTATACTCATGCAAAATGGACCAAGCCCCGAGTTTTAAGCAAGCTGAAAGGCCTTCTTGTGAATGCTGTTGCATGGAACAAGCAGCAGATAACAGAAGGTAGTTGATCACTTTTCTGTCTGTTGCCAATAACTTGAA